ATATATATATATATATATATATATATATATATATATATATATATATATATATATATATATATATATATATATATATATATATATATATATATATATATGGATATACATACATACATACATACATATATTCATACACACACACATACATACATATACAAATACAAATACAAATACATATACAAATACAAATACCTATACCTATACATATACATATACATATACTACGACACTCATGCGTGATAATGGTTGTTAGTATGGGGCTGTGTGCAAATACCTGGCGAATGGTGGTCAGATATCTCTGTGCCTCGACTGAGTCCTTGTACCACAGAAAGTATACGCGAAGGAACTTGCCCGCACGTAAACTGCGGAATATCTCAATCTGGGAAGATTAGAAATCGGGAAAATTTGTTGATTTAGGAATTCCTAAACCTGAAAGATATGTTATTTTGGACAACAGTTATATTATAATAGATTTTACTGTTTTCTTGCGGTGATACGAGTATGCGAGAAATGCATGAGATCAAATCCGAGTTGTCCCAGAATAGCTTCCAAAACTCTCTTTAAATTTACCTGTCGGATGGCGGCAGGATCAGGATCGTACATGATGATATGCCTGCAGTAGAACGGGGCAAACAAAGAAAACCTATTTTGAAACTGCAAAATGTATGTCTTACCGTAGATATCTTCGAAATCGCCTAAATAGTCTACGTATGAGAACTGATAGTATACTACATGTGGACTGTATAGTCTATGGTTTGACAGGAGCCCTTGCACATGTGAGAAGCCTACATCTATTTTTTTTAGAAGGGATAAGCTAATTCACGATTGCAATATTGAAACTTAAGTGTTCCTTATGTCCGCACACAGTGCTGATAAAATTCCATAAGATGGGTTAACTGATTGGTTAGTCCATACAGGCCTATAACTTATATACATATATATATATATATATAAAATATGTACTATATGTATAGCAAAGATCAACCAGACACACACACACACACACACAAAGATATATATATATATATATAAATAGATAAATAGATATATATATATATACATACAAATACACATGCACAGACACAGACATAGTCACAGACACACAAACACAGACACAGACACAGGCACACACACACACACACACACACACACATATATATATCTATGTATATAAAGAATATACAAGTGTACGTATCTGTATACCTGGGCTGAGTGTCTGTCAGAATGCGCTCCAAATGCCACGAACCCCCGTCTACGCGCATGCTGCGTATGATCACACATGGTGCTTCCAAAATGCCATAGAACGTGTTGATATCTAGATCATCGTCATCGTAGTCCCGATCGTCTTCCTCATCGTCCTATTAAGGAAACACACGAGTTTGGAACAAGTTTCAGCCTTAAGCTATATCTCAATAGGTTGTCAGCCAATACCGAGATATTGGTGGTGAGCACATGTAGGCTGCAATGTCAATGGTAGTGCGTATAAACGGTTTGATTTATAAAGGCTTGAGGGGGAGGACTTTGTTAAACAGGTTCATGTAGGGGCTGACACTCACTCATACAATATGGGCAACAGATCATCGTTATTGTCTGTTTTCCCAGACATGCAGACATATATACATACATTAAATATACATAGATATACAAACATTAAATATACATATGTCATATCTACACATATATGTACCTATACCCTTATACATATATACCTATGTACCTATATATATATATATATATATATACGAGTATTATAGTAGTATAGTAGTATATTGTATAGTA